GTATGTACAATTGACCACACTCATCTAATTTATGCCCTATGGGGGCTAACAAAAGTAGTATAGGAGAAGGACGAATATAAGGATCCGGTTGGGGTTAGAGTGACCCAAAATGGTGGATGGATTGTTTGCATTAGTTGACATTTCCGAAGGATATTGCAAATGTGCTAATAGATCTCCTTGTGAAACACCCAGATAGTGCACACTAAAATAGTACAGCTATATATGAGTACTACAAAGATAGGAACTGAAAACCTTGAAGGGATAAATATAACCTTAGTATGGCTCCCATCCCTAGTAGAGGGAGAATGTTAGGCAGCCCGAAGAGCCAGTATATGGAGCAAGGGAAGCTAAAAGCGAAAGAATTTCTTGTTAAAGTCTTCAAGATAAAGAGATAGATAAAAATATTAGCAGGGAAGTACGAAGAGGGATAATGAAACATTATGAGTGAGATGTGATACATGGATGGAAACAATAGAGTGTTACAAAAGGAAAAGTTAGACCCTAGAGTAATAGAAATCAGTATGGACTGGTGAACAAGGATAAACTAAACATGAATTAGGAACTGAGTGATTTGATAATCGTCAGCATCATCAGAATTTCATATTGCATTCCGGAAACAATAGAGTGGACAACAAAAGAAGATCCATGATGAATTCAGAGAATGGTCATTCAGGGAGACATTCCCCTAAAGCAAGCAATATGAGCAAAGTTAAGCTTAAGGGACTGTATGTGCCAGTAGGATTACCGCAAGGTGAGTAAGGGTCATTGATGATGTGAGAGGATGCCAAAGATGAAGAGGAAAAACATCTATAGGATCATAGCTCCAAGTCTTAGTACTCCCCTAAAAGGGAAAATATGGAATGATAAAGGAAGAATGCGATAAAAAATGAGAAAGGGATGAGATTGCACTTATCCAAATGTTACAGATATGCTATGATTCCAGAACGTTATGTAAGCACGATGTCAGAAGAAGGAAGTAAGTATTCATGCCTGGGATGTTATTGATAGATAAGGATCCAGTACGTGAAGTAAGTTAAGATAAGGAAATAACCTAAGAAATATCACGCGGAATATGGATATGAGAATGGGCCGATAAGTAGTTAATAGTTGACTCAGGAAGAGCCTAGTCATGACCAGACAAGAAGTTACAGACAAATCAGCACATCATGCAAGATAAATGTAGAAAAACCCAACATGGAGAATTCAGCTTTGTAGTAATGTCATTATAATACTTGAGATACATTCAAATAGGAGTCGGGATAGTTAAAGGTACCGTATGAGTGTTACGGGGATAAAAGAAAGTGCCACTGGGAAGGCAATCAAAATATCAGTTCAGAAGAAACCCTACAAGCACAAGGGCACGGAGGTAAGCAACTACGGATGATTATAGGCAAGAAGGACATCAAAAAGGTCTGTAATAAGCTCATAGTTTTATGAGAGTCAAGGGTTCTCCCTAAGTACTACAACAAAAGACTAGCTGAGGAAATAAGGAAGAAGGCTTCAACCTAAGCACAACGACCTAAAGAGGAAATGGTCGTGTAACCACAGTCTCGCAACCACATTGTAAGCACTCCAAAGGAAAGCGGCACCTACCGTGGCTAATGAACGGGAAGTAAAATTAAAAGTAATATTTGAGATCATATGAGTTGTATGAAAACTCTGGCATATGTGGGCACTAAGATAAGCGAAGTATGGACTCAACAAGGGGACAGAAAGACTAGAAAAAGTAATAGCTTATGTTGAAAGAAAGCTAAGATAGAACAAAAGAAATTATTTGATCAATGATCCAGAGTGGGTTACGTTATGAACACACTTAAGGGTTCAGAGTTTTATAAATGCAGCATATACAGCCGTAGAAGATTCTGGTATATGTTAAAAGAAAGAATTGAGCCCAGGTCTTAGACGAAAGATTAAATTGTTAAAGGATTATATCATGCATATTCCTCAGGGCCTGCGAAAGGCTAAACAGAATAACTAATACCATGAACCACAGATCAGGAGATGATTTAAGCCGACATAAAGGCTGACCAGAAGAAGGAGGAAACTAAAGAGTTACATCAACGAAGTAAATCAGGAATCCGATCATTGGACCCAGAAGTTATAGGAATCATGATTGAGAACATAGCAGAATCATTCTTAATATTAGAGGTTTAAGAGATATAGCACAACAACTATATTCTATAACGGCTCTACGATAAATCTAGTTAGAAAGTATGAGCCTCATAAGAAGGTAGTATGAAGATCCCACCGGATTGCATATGCACCAGAGGTGCGAGTATTATCGAGTTGTGGATGTGAATTATACCTATGTGGAAAGGGGGGTCATAAAAGAGATGGAAGAGGTGATGCGAGATTTTAAGGTAAGTAAGGTAAATGTGAACAACGTACGAGATACTCAAATGCAGGATGTGGTGAATAGTCCATACTGCAGATAAAAGGCTAGAAGCACGGGTATTCCGTAACCAGGAATGATAGCGTCATCGTCAATAGCATATCTTCTAGCCTATGGTTTCTAGGTGCCGAGAGATCTAGCTGGGAGAGTAAAGAAGAGTTAGAGATGATGTGATGTCTCGCTTGATGTTCCAGAATAATACGATGAAATCTATGGTTCAAGCAAGGTTGCGAGCAGTATATATGGATATATGTAGGTCGCAAGCTAAAGTATGATAGAGCAACAAGGTTTTAGGAAGACAAGAGTAAGGAAAAGAATGGGTGAGTGAGAAGGTAACGAGAAACTGATGAGTCCTCGGGATTAAGCCCATAAAAACAAGATAGCTGATGGCTTCTTTAGGTTATAGAAAGCTCAGTATAACCTGAATGAACTCAAAGGAATTTAAGACTAGTAGCATTTAAAAGAGATGGAATACTGCCCTGGTAATAGAATAAAGGTGTAATTGTGATAGATAAAGGATGATGTTTGAGCCTTCGATTGAGCAATGATTTGAAGAGGATTTCATGGATTGTACGGAATTAAAATACCCACGTAAGGTGAAACACATTGGGATGCTATAGAATACGATTATTAAAGTATAGTATAACCCCTAGGTGGATCAATCTAATTACTCCAGATGTCACCGATGAGACGCGAGCCCTAGCGGCAGTGTTACATAAAAGATCAAGTTATCAGTAGTAGATGATGAATCGACATCAAGGTGAATCAACAATAGATGGATAAAAGTTCAACAGTGGAGATGAGATTAGACCATCAGTTTTAAGGATAAGCAACGAGAGTAACCCGGAGTTGGTTGCAGACCTCAGTAACGATAAATTGAAGTAAGAATTATGGTACAGTATGACCTACATAGATGCAGTAAAGTCATACGAATGGATAACTAGGTCTATGAAATAAGATATAGCCATATTCGCAAGTTCTACAAAGTACCGAGCGAAGAACTTCAGTACACCTATAGATGCCCAGAGAGGCATCCTATTAAGCCTTGTATATGTTTACAAAGTAAGGCCTAAAGATTGGCTAAAAGCTGAAGGAAAAGGGAGAGAAGAGTCACATAGGCACACTTACAAGGTTAGTATCGTAAAGGCTGCATGATAGAAGATAGCAACAGTTACGAGATTGGAAGGAATTCGATCACAAGTCATGGCGTGGGAAAGGGGCCTAAAGGGGGGAATGCCCTGGCCTTTGGCTTTAGTCACAGAACAACTGCCTAAAAGGGCAGTGAGAGTATTAAGGTATTCACAAGAGTTATAAGTTATGAAAATGATAAGAGCATCAGTCAACATTCGAGGATGAATGTTCCAAAGGGCGAAATAATGTTACACCCCATGCTTTCGTATGTGAAAATATGCCATAAGTGAATTGATGAAAACTCGAGAACAAGATGTTACATCCCACATTTTCGTATGCTAAATTTTTGTCATAAGTTACTTAACGTAAGTCCGGGAATGAAATTATTTTGAGGTTATTTTGGGATTATACGCATTATGCTATTTCAAACAAATGATGAGTAAAATTCGTGAAGGAGAAAAGGTAAGCAAATAGGAGAAAATGAATTTCGTCGAAATGTGACATGTTGGGGTAAAATATGGTCTAAGCTATAATATCCCGTATTTATGACCTAGTGCCATACAAGGTACCACATGGCCATAATAGAAAGGTATGCAAAGTGTATTAAAGGTGAGTAGTGTTTTAAGTAATTTGAGATAATTCCTAATTATGTGGATAATTGGTTAATTATTGATTTAATGGGAGATTAACCATGTAATTAAGGATTTGTGGATAATTGTAGGTGGGAAAAAGCCCCCACGTGGCAGCAAGTAAAGGATGAGTGGAGATAACTTGACCTTGGGCAATCTATTAAGTTAACACATTGAAAGAGAGGGCGTAATAGTTATCCCTACACTTTGTCTTGAATTAATCCAAAAATAGACCACCTGGTACTCGTCTTCTATTTCGACACTTCAAAACATTGTTTAATTCTCATCCAAAACGAGCCCTCCTTAGCAGCAAACAAAATAATTTGCTACTTTAATCTATAAGTTGTCCAAACTCCAACCTAATAACTGTTGACATAAGAACTGCTGCTCAAGAAACAAATGTGAATTTCTCTCAGGTCCTCAGCTTCACCCTCCACAATCTTCATGGTAAAATGAAGCTGCCTATCAAAGGTTATCTGGTAAACCAATACATTAATGAAATATAAGGATCGGAATTATCAGTCTCCCTTTGAAATGCGTGCAGAAGAGACTCAGAGAAACAGTACTATTATTGCAGATGCCTTGTTGCTTCAACAGTTCAACCAAACAAAATGTTGACAAGCAAGCTGGTAGAAGTCAAGTACCAATGGATCGTCCAAGTCATAGCAATAAGCTTTAAGACTTCCGGAATAAAATAGTGTAATCAGTCCTTAATGAAGTATTAAAGTTTCAAATTCTTCATGAATAAATAACCTCAGAAGCTTGCTTCTTATCTCCTGCTAATTAAATGCAGCAGAATTTTACTAGCTCAGATGTATAGCCAGGACGGATACATGAGGGCATTCCACTTTAAACTAGAAAAATTATTAAATTGATTGCAACTAAAGATGATCTCAACTAATCATTCGAGAGATTAACAACATTAATAAAACCAACCTTTATTAAGAGAAAGAGATGCATTTTCTCCTAGTGACAGAGCTACACTTCTGAGCTCATGGTATCAAGCCCCTCTCAACAGTGAGCAAACTGAACTTCATGATATTCTGCTCCTATGTGATCATAAGCTCTTTCTTGTTGAAGACATAATTAAGTAAATAGAAGTGCTCTCTCTCTAACAGCTTAAGCTTTTAGATGAGACGGTCACACACTTCAACATTTCTGATGGACAAATTCTTTGGTACTGTTTCTTTTTGGCATGCGAGTACATACTTAAAAAGACTTGATTCTCACATACAATCAACTAATTCCATGTCAACTCCTGAAACCATAAACTTGCAGCTTGGGCAGAAAGAACTTCTTAGAAATGCGTACGATACACCAGCTTCAACGTAGATTACGGAATGGAGACACTCATATAAGCAGGATTACATACTGAATCTGCAGATCTAATTCAATTCTCTTTAAGTAACACCATCTTGGGCTTACCGCTATGTACCGAGTATTAATCCTTGCGTGACAGAAACTAGACAAGATACACGGTTTCCTCAGATCAGGGTGTGTAGTAAAAGGTTTGATGAATCTGGCACAAGCATCCAATAAACAGGCAAAGTTAGATTCTTTGAAAGATCAATTACTACATTAGAAAGGTAACAACAGAAGAAGACACATAACTGGATCGGAAGTACTCCAAAAGAAAACAAATAGATAATACAAGACACATAACTGGATCGGAAGTACTCCAAAAGAAAACAAATAGATAATACAAGACACATAACTGGATCGGAAGTACTCCAAAAGAAAACAAATAGATAATACTTTTGAGATGGAAAAGAAAATATCAGAAACTTTCGTATTACTACTATATCATCATCATAAGCCAACAATATCAATTGATTATTTCTAGGAGTCATTCAGCATGAAAATTCACCATGAAATCCTTGAAACTTGAAAGAAAACCAAAGGGTTAAAGGACTAGAATGGCGTACAAGTAGATAGAGATAAGAAACACCTTGTATAGAATGAAACTATACCAATTTAGGAGGAAATGAGAAAGAAAAAAACCTAGCAGGGTTCTCATCAAACCAGATTCTGCTGGGTGTTTTAGTTGACATCGACGTGTCCCCATCGTCTAGCCAAACCACATCTAACAAAGCAGAATCTATTAGAAGGACTAGGAGAGCAGGCCTTGCGTAAAAGAATAATGGACATAATTCGTCTCTTTAATATGAATCAAGAAGGGCCAAGAATTCCTCAAAGATATAATAAAAAGAAGTAAAGGAGATTAAGAGAGAACCTGCTGAAAAATAAATAGGATTTTTTGGCAAATTCGTCTCAATAGCCATCAAGCAGCAAACAAAGTTCCTGTTGGATAATGTTAAAAACAGATATTAGATACTTTACATACACATTTTATATTGCAAAAGGGAACCAAATTGTATGAACTTACATAACTATCTTATATTGCGAGGGAGATCAAATTGTGTGAACTACAGTCAGTGTATACATCAGGGGAAGGGGAAAGAGTTAGGAACAAGCGAATTAGTTAATTGATCCAGTTTGTCAATTATACCACAAACGTAAATAATAATACTCCCTCCATTTTACTTTATATGACACTCTTTCCCTTTTAGCCCTCTCCAAAAAGATTGACACCTTTCTATCATTCCCATTTTACCTTTAATAACACTCTCTTATTGGAATGACATGACATCTATCTATATAAGAGACGTCCAGCACTATGTGGGTGCTGGAAATGCACATAACAAAAGGAGAAACAACTCTGTTCTTTCAACACGTATCTATATATATGTGAGTTATATTCGTGCAGACACACAAGCATCTTTATCTGCAAGAATGCTGGTAAATGTTTTTTCATTGATATTTCATATAATGATATGCCTGCATCTAATATGCCAAATGACATTGACCAGCTTAGACTTTGATCAATTTCATACAAGCTATTCAGTTTAGACAAAATGACCACGCCACTCATGGATACTTGTAAATTAAAATGACATAAGTTTAAATCTCAACTAATACTTCAGGCAATATTTTGTTCGCATACCCCCTCCTCCCTTGAGCCGCTTAAGTTATCACAGCAGTAGCTAGGGGATATAAAACGGAGCTATTCCAAGAGTAAATGCAGGTATGAGAACCTTGGCTGCCAGCAAGGCAGCAACGAAATTGTAGACCAGGAATTATCAGGTTTTTACATTAAGTATTTGCTTCAACCTAATAGTCACGACAGAAGACTAACTAGTATTTGTGGATAGAGACAGATAGGGAGTAATCATCACCTGTGCATGTGGCTTATAGCAAGTTGTCTGGTGGATTAGCGCGTGCAAGCTGGAAGGACACCACATCAACACAAAAGAAGTAGGAAAATAGAAAGAGATTAACTAGAATTGTGTTAAACAGAGCAAATTAACCTACTCATGAATACATCCTTGCACACATCGTAATGATAGTAAAGAAGTAATTGCCCTTCGTGGCCTTGATTGGTTTTAACAATTGATTTAAGAGCTTACCAATAAAGAAATGCAACGGTCTCTTTTTCCTTTCCACTTTTATTTTAACGATGGAGAAGGCAGGAAGATTTGAATGGGGATCGAAGCGTTCATACCTAGAACATCACATGGGTTGGAACACAACCTTCATATTGTATCCAACATGACCACACCTTGAAGCCTTGGAGAACAAAGCACTGCTGTATTACTTCTTTCCATTACAAGCATATTCAAAGTGCAACCCTTTGCAATACAAAAACAAAAGCCCGAAGTTAGAAAATAGAAAACATGTCCACAAATATATGTAAAAATGTAAGATGCGCTAAGAATCAAAGAAATTGTGTCAAAATGAAAACAAAAACGGAATCAAAGTTGTTACAAGGCCCACAAGGTTCATACTGCTTTATAAAACTCTCATTTCAGCATATTCTCAATCGTTAGAGTGTTTGAATAAGTTGCAATGCGACAGCCACATTTTGAGCTGCAATAGATCTCTTATTATTATATTCAGAACTGGAATAGAGCAGTTTCGGATAAGTTGCTCTACAAAAGCCATATAGAAACAACAACTACGCCTTAGCCCCAAGCAAATGGGATCGGCTATATGAGTCCAAACTCTGCCTATATGAACTTGGTCGCATTGCCGGATCTAAGCTCGGATAAAGGAGGGTTGCAGTATGCGGCCAACCAGCGTAAAACTAGTCAATTCATGATTAATCCTCACAATGCAAAAGCCACATTGAAAAAGATCTCTTAAAGAATATTTTCAGAAAAGGATTTAATATTTTCCCAAAAACAGCCACATTTGAGCAGAGATCTCTTACAATTAAGAATTCAAATTTGACGTGTAAGAATTTACTTTCTGCTAGCTATGGGGGTTGCGTCAACCCATAATGGTGCTCCATTCTTATAGGCACTAAACATTTACTAATTAACCAACATTAACGAAGTCATTTCCACACAAGAAAGAACCAAAAAGAGAGAAAACATACACACATTCATATAGAAGAATTGCAACAAAGGGAGAATTTTAGGTTGTGAAACCTGAGGAATCTCTCAATAAAAGAAGGTTTCCTTGCCCCATGACTCAAGTATTGGAATGTTCTTGTGCTTTCCGCAAGGAGAATCAAGTAAGTAGTTTTAACAAAGTTTTGATCCCTAGTGGATATTCCTTCACTGGATTGGAGCCCTGACTTGTCTCCTGGTCAAATAAAATTGGTGTGAAAACATTTCATTGCACATCTTTCATGGAGTAAATCAGCGAAGCATTTCCGGTAGATGTGTAAGAATACATGTCTAACTGATGAAACTAAGTGTTTTGGACATCAATAATGTGAAAAGAGGCATTAAAATCGTTAGATGCATAAGTGAAGCAAGTGATTCTAGTCCCACAAAACACCAAAATGTAGAAACCATTTCAACCCAGGAAAGCAATTTCTTATTGGCTGAGCCCCCAAGGCTCTAATCTAGTGTTAAGTATATGTGATGTGTAGGTTAGGCGCATGTCACGGATTTGTACCATGTCGTAGACAAAAGCCTAATATTTAAGTAGAGAAGGGTAGAAAGGCAGGCCCATTATCCTCCGATTTTCAAGTCATTGGCCATTGACCCTCAGGGATTTCTCGGATTATAAAAAAAAGTTGCTACGGTTTACAACAGTGGAGCATAACAGCACATGCACGGGGTCTCTGCCACTTTTATGAATAAATACTAGCATATATGTGATGGACTTCTATCAATTTTGTGCATAAATGTTGGCATATGAGCTAGATCTATGCCAGGTTGTATGAATAAATATAGGCGCATATGTGGTGGACTTCTGTCAATTTTTCTCATTAATGTCAGTGCACATGCGCGAAATAACCAGGGAATATAAAAATTGTCAATTTTACATATAAAAGTTGTAGCACTTGTGCCAACTGATGTGCCAGCCTTCTAGTATTTACATTGTTGTGTAGCACGCACATACAGCAAAAGGACACGCGGCTCCATTAATTCCAGTTTCTTGGTATAGGTGTAGAATATGAATCATGTTTTGATCATTATAAATGGAGGACATTAGTTACTCATTGCATGATGTTGTGAAATTTAAAGAATCGACTTGCTACTCATTGTCTTAAGCACTCTCTTCTTTGGTGAGCATCGCTTCACGCATGAAGTAATCCTCGAAGCAGCATCCTCCCTATTTCCCTTAAACCATGTATGCCGACCCCCCCCCCCCC